GGGGGGGTCAGCGTCTGTAAACTTCCTAATAAGTGGTGAATTCTTTCCATAAACTCAGGTGGGTGCTCTGAGGGCTTCTGCTGTTGATTGCTCTACTTTACTGAGGCTGTTAGGTTCAGGGGTCTCTGGTTTTATTCCCAAGATACACTCCCTGCCACGGTCCAGCCTAGCCACCCCCGTCCACGTGCAGCATGGGGGTCTGAATCTGGTCAGTCTAAGGAGTGCCCCTCTGGGACTGGCGTGTCATCCGGGTGCCTGGTAGGAAGCGTCTCTGCTGCTGTTTCCGTACCTGGCCTGGCCCTTTGCTGACACCAGTAAGACTCGTAAGAGCCCGAGTATCCACCCAGGGAGGGCGAAGAGCAGCAAAGGTGTCAAATGAGGTCATCGTGAAGCAAAAATGGTGTCATGACTTTTTCTTTTTCTTTCTGTATTTAGAGCTTTTTACTATAGGGCACGTGCACTTGCCAGACACAGAAAGCGAGAAATCACCCCCAAGGCGGGATGGCCACACCACAATCCCTTCTCCTCCATTCTCCTCTTGGGATCTTGGGCACGCACGCACACGCACCTTGCATGAGTTCATGCCACTTATTCCAGTACTCGAACCGCAGTCAACTACATGGGAGTCAGCGATGTAGCCATTACGCCATCTGCTGGTCCCAAGGTGTCATGACTCTCTCAACCACCCACCACCACCACCCTCTGAGGGTCCTCTCGGTACAGAGGACTAGAATTCTTCCAGTTGAGTAAGTAGGGAGAGAGCGTTAGTTCCAGCGGGGGCTCTCTGTCATCCCCACCGGGCACTAACAAAGGGAGTGCCGTCCTGCTCAGATCTTCTCAGATCTGTGCTCACGTCTTTCCCGACCAAAAATCATTCCTGCCTCCTAGGAGGGCGAGTCACAGGGGGTGGGAGCTCACCCCTCCTTGGGCTTCCATTGGTTCAGGAGCCCAAGGGCTCAACAAACCTATTAGCCTCGGAGTTGCCATCTCTCTGTCTCCACTGACGACCAGGGTCAACTTCGGAACTTGACATGACCCATTCATAGCACGTGCCCAAGATACACGTTATGACGCTGTCCCCTCCGAAAGACCACAGGTCACACACATACTTGTCATTCACGTGAGCCCCGTTTCCCTCAGGGCAAACGTGAGAACTTACATTAGCCCCCAACATGCACAAGACAGGCATGACAGCGCCGCTACGACCAAAGGCCGATGAGCAACGTGGACCTCACAGTCAGGCAAGCCTAGTTTCTCTTCCTGTAGAGCCCAGCCGTTCCTTCTCCTGAGCAGAACCCAAATGGAAAAGAGCTTGGACTTACCAGCTTCTGATCGGGTTTCACTTACCCGAAACCAGCCCGTCAGCTCCGGAAGCCCGCGGGTGTGCGGGAGCAGCGTGCTGGGCTGGATGGGGTTGGCGAGGTGGCGCCATCGTGGTGAGATCTCCACTTTCCAAAGGCTGGGCCTTGGAGGGGCAGGCATGAGCTTTCCATTCTCACTCCAGCTAAAGCAGGTGGCAGACCTCGGCAGAAGGTACCCATAAAATTCCTGGAATTACACTGGTTCTGGTTCCGGCAGCCTCAAGGAGTTTCCAGGGAGAATTCCCACCCTGGCTCCTGCTCACAGAGCCAAGCGTTACCCGCAAACTAGGTCCGGGCTGCTGCTTCCCATGGTCAGTGAAATAAGAGGCAGAGGCTGGAAAAAGGAGTTTATTTCTGAAACCGGTTACAGGGAGACAAGAAGCACCACTAAATTCTCAGAAAGCTCTACATGTTCTCAGTACTTACGGATACAAGAGACAAGCTTGTGCAAATCATTTCTCACTACAATGAACAGAACTGAGTGCTACCCCTGAGTAACTAGGCCGACTCCCGTTTCACTTCAATGGCCACTCAGCTTCGCGTCGGACCATTCCTCCAACAGCTCTCCCCATGACTCGGCGCTTGGTCAGATGGTTCTTAGAGGCCTTTCTTCATTTCAGAATGGCTGCAGTCCTGCTAACCTCAAGCTGGCCTGCTTCAGTAGGGTGAGCATCCCCGGAGTGCAAGGGCCAGGCAGAAGCTGCATCCTTTTACATCCTCACATTCTCAGAAAGCAGGCTACACTGGGAATGCTATCGGTACTTCTGTATTTTTTATTGCCAAAGGGCACGTGAACATGCCAGAAAGCAAGAGAGTCCCCAATGAGGTGTGGTCACCTCACAATCCATTCTTGTCCATCTCGTCAGAATTTGGGGCACACACACATGCCCAGTGTGTTCCATAAGCCAACAGGGTCAGGATATAAACCCAGGCTGGCCACATGGGATCCACAACATTCAACCAACATGCTAAGGGGCTAGCCCACGCATCCTTCTCTCAAGGACAGGAAGTCAAGGCAGAGGTGCTGTTGAAGCGCCGTTTCTAAGTGGCAGGGCTGGGATCATACATTTTCTGACTTCCTGTCCAGGGCTCCAACCGGCTGAACCGGAAGCCAGTAGGTGTGCAGGAGCAGCGTGGGCACACCCGAGCTGTGTGCTGGGTTGGTGGGCTTTCCAGCCAGCTTCATGGAGTTGGCGAGGTGGCCCTATCTCGGTGAGATCTCCACTTCCCAAAGGCTGGGCCTTGGAGGGACAGGCATGAGCTTTCTGTGGCTGGTGCACCCAGAACTGGCCAGATTTGAGAAACCAGCTCACGAGGAGTTGACGTACAACAGTGCTCGGCAGAGTGGGGACACGGGAAGGAAGGAAGGAAGGAAGGAGTGAATTCTAAATAAATTCGAAAGCCTGATGGAGACTTCTTGACAAGAAAACGTAGTTAGGCGGTTGGTCCCAATGGGATGACTGGGGGACCTGGGGCTGGGCACCGACAGAAGGCACTTTCTAACCCGGACACGGAGTTTTGACGCTTGCTCTCCTCTCGGCCCATTCGGGAGACAGCACCCAGGACTCGGGGCTGGGAAAGTTACTGCACATGAGGGCAATGTTTCCATTTGACGGAGCTCGATGGCCGCTTCCTGTATAGGCCGCAGTACGCCGAGGAGCTGGAGGAAGGGATCCCGACATGACTGGGCCCCGGGGAAGGTGCATCTCTCTGTTTTTCTCTCACGTGTGCGTGAACATCACGAACCACAATCCAATAGCAACCTGAGTACTGCCACAGGGAGGGGCTCCGGTCGGACACGCGAGGACCCTTTCCTACAAGGACGCAGGTGTGAGCGCAGATGAGCTGGCTGGGAAAGCTGAGGGCCCCCCGCCCGTGCAGTCCTGATGATGGGGGGAAAGGAGGCCGTGCGGATGTGGAGGCCCCTTCAGGGCAAGAACGTGCTCCCTGGTTCTGCCGTGCTCCAGGGATGCTGTCTTACAGCAGGGCCCAGAGGGAGATTCCAGGCAGGGCTGACCCGGACTTGCTCTGCCGTCTCTCCTGACGGCGACAGGGCTGACCCGGGCTTGCAGGCTGGAACACTGCAATGGCCTCTAGAGTAGAGGACGGACAACAGGCTCTTCCACGGGAGCAGCTTGCTCAGCTTTGAGTCACTTGTTTCCAAAGAGAGCTCCCCTAGAGGCTGCAGATTCGGCCGGGGGCAGATTGCAACTGTCTGCTCTCACCAGGGACCTGAAAATCAACAGAGAAGACAGAGAAGCAACGGATTCCAGCAGCAGAAGTGGAAGTACCGCCTCAGTGCGTACCCCATGGTTCCTAAGCCATCCTTTCCCGACTGGCACCTTCTTCAAGGGGAAGATCGTGCTCGCTACGACGCAGTCGTCCAGAGAGCGCTATCAGAAAAATATACGAGGTGGGGGATCTTCAAAAAGTTCATGAAAAAGGCATACTATGAAAAAACTAGGCTCGGATTTCAAATCTTTTCACACCAAAAGGAACTGGTACTTTAATTCCATTTTTTTTCCATAAATGTCTTCAAGTCCTTTCATCTTAGGGCTTTGCAGCAGAGTTGGGGAGAATTCCAGAGGCTAAAATGCCAGCAGGACCTGGTTCTTCAGTATCAACGATGATTCTCTGGGACGAAGGGAACAGTCCGTGACAGTGGCCCACACATCAAGGCTCTGGACCACGATGCCTCAGTGCCCAGAGGCTTGGCTTGGGTCCTCTCTGTCCGGGGTGGTGGCAGACAGTTCGAAGCCAGTGAATGGCTCTTCCCACGCCAACCCTCAGTGGAAAAGCAGGCAGGAGGGGGCAGGAGGTGGACTTAGCTGGTGTCCTCAGAGACGAGCTGTCCCCTTGCTTGTTCCAAAGGGCGGACGTAGGCCTTTGGGTTCTCCTCGACCCTTCGGTGTCCAACAGTGGGAACGCCCAGATGAGTCACGGACGTTCTCTGCCAGCCAACTGATGGCGTCAGTCATGAAATTGCTTCATGGCTTTCTGGAGGTTGCTGTAGAAGCCGGCCATGCTGCGGGGGAAGAAGGAGTCCACCACGCTCTTGGGGAGGTAACCGCTGAGGTCGGTCTGGAAGAATGTGACCAGGTTGGTCTTGCCGGGCTCCCTGCAGAGGCAATGGCAGAGTGAGGTTACATGTCTGCAGAGGCGCTGGGCACAGTGGGCACCAGGATGGGCGAGCAGGGCCCCGCCCAGCACAGATGGCCAGACACGGCGCCCCGACCTGATCCCCGCCGGGCTTGCCGCCCAGGGCCCACGTCTACTCACTTGCAGAGGAGAAATGTGTGCTCTGGTGGATGTTCTGGCATTCGACAGCCCCTCCAGGCCTTCAGGCAAGGAGAGGACCCCTTCCATCCAAGAAATGCAATTCCACCCAGCAAATGCACAGGGAGAACTCACTCGGGGCAGAGCCCTGGCAGGAAGACACAGACGCTGCCTCCTATCCACTCAGGACAGAGGCTCCTAGCCCGGCTCGGGACCTGCTGGGGATTCGTGCAAGCTTGTTCTCTCTCTCGTAACATGGAGCTATGACCTGCGCGTTCACGCTCACGCTCCCACGAGCTACAACGGAGTTTCCCACGCGATGAGGACTACCACGACAGACTGAATGGAAGGGCAGACACAAGTGCCTACTAAGCCCGACGTGAAAAACACCGGCAAAAATGTCCACGATGTCACTCTTCTCACCTTTTTTTTTTTCGGTTTTGAAAATTTTAGTTATTTTTCATAAAAGTGGAATTTATGTTACACCATACAACACTACACACACATATTTATTTTTTGTTATAGGACATGCACACTTGCCAGAGAGAGAGATGGGGGAAAGTAAGAAATCGCCCCTGACGGGGATGGCCATGCCACAATCTGATGGGGATGGCCATGCCACAATCTCTTCTTCGTTCTCCTCCTGGGATTTCTGGGCATGCACATACCCGTGTCATGTGTGCCAAACTGCCAGGTCAAGAACTCAAACAGCAGAGTCAGCCATGTAAGATCCAGCAACACAGACAGACAGAGACAGAAAGCGAGAAATCACCCCCCCCCCCGGGGGGATGGCCATGCTGCAATCCCTTCTCCTCCATTCTCCTCTCGGGATCTTGGACATGCACGCACACACACATGCCCGCTGTGAGTTTAAGCCACCAGGTCCGGGACTCAAACTCCAGTCCACTACGTGGGAGTCCAGTAACGTAACCATTACACCATCTGCTGGTCCCACTCTCCAAGGCCTTCCCATTTTATTCCAAGCTAAGTGCTCAGCAGAGGGTGACCCTGCGTCCCCTGGAATAAGTCCTCCAGTCACGCTGATCCAACACCTCGGCCTCCTCCAGGGCTGAAAGGCCTTGGCCTGCTCCTCCCTGAGACTTTGTGCCTGCTCACCTCTCTGCTAGGAACACTGTCTCTTCCGACCTGCCCGAGGCTCCCTGTGAGCGCGCTTTATCACAGGTACTGGGCACACTGCGCACAAGAACAGGCAAAGCGAGCCCTTCGCGGCAGGAATGGCCACTACACAGCACTCGGACCCAACACCCCACTGGGCCTGCCGCCTGCTCACGGTCAGGGTGGCAAGGCGTCCTCCGGTGGATGCATTCTGCGTTCTATAGCCCTCCAGGTGAGGAGCAGGACCCCTTCCAGTCCAAGAAGGTAGTACACCCTGAGACCTCACCCCACGCGGGCCCTGACAGGGACAGACAGATCTGCCTCCCCTCCTTTAGGGCGCAGCTTGCATCAGAGAGGCCCCATAGATGACCCGCCTTCCCCAGCTCCGTCATCTGGCTTTGGTCTCTGCAAAGCCCTGGACACCTGCTAGCACAGTGTGTACACCTGGGAGAATCACTCACGCGGTGGTCTGCCTATCTCTCTCACCCACCGGGATCTCAGGGCACAGACTCCAGAGCCAGACGGCTGGGTTTAAACCGCAGCTTGCACTTGTGGGCTTGGTCATCTTGGGTAAGTGCCTTCAACCCTCTGTGCTCCAGGGTCCCCATCCAAAAGGGGGGGCCAGCAGTGCCCAAGGACTGCTGCAAAACCAAGACCGAGTTTGTGTCTATCAGGAGCTTAGAACCTTGTCCAAGGCACAGCCTAAGTCCCGCTGCTGCCCTGGGTGGTCGCTGGGTCTATGGCGTCTAGGACAGGCTGACGGAACCAGGGGAATGAGGGGACAACGCTGTCCCCGCTCCAGATTCAAAGCCTCCAAGAGCAACTCTGAAAGTGGCCGACGGCCTCAGGAAGCTTTACCGTGGATGCACCATATTTTTAACCAGGCAGACGGGAGTGGGAAGGGCGAACACCTCCACAGCAGGCGGGCTTCGTGGGACCTTTCTGGCCTCCATCGGCCCATCTGTAGAATCTAGGCCACCACCTTCGCTACTCGGCATGTGGCCTTCCAACCGTGTGTCGCCCCAGAAGGCATGGCTGTGACAGTCAGCCTTGGAGGACAGAGACCTCTGGCTCATGCTGAAAACCCCTCTCCACCATACCTCCACCCACAAAATGCGGCTCTGGGCACCTGCCTGTCAGTGGGAAGGTAAGGGAAATGGCTATCCATACATGTTTTTAAATTTGCAGAAGGATGTGCACTCAATATAGACAGACAGACACGCTCCCCCATGGGACACAGTCACACTGCAATCCCTCCTCCACTCCCTTCCTTCTGGGATGTTAATTAAGCATGCACACATGTACTTGGCATGTTTCTTAGCTGCCAGGTCTGAGGCTCAAACCGCACAGCCAGCCATGTGGGATCTAGAGGCCTTCACCGGATGGTCCACCTATACTAGATGGTGTATGACTCATCAGGGGGGGAGAAAGCATCCCCCGTGGGGTGTGGCCATGCCGCAACCCCCTTTCCTCCGTTTCTCCATCCTATCAGTATTTTCAGCACACACAAATACACTCCTGGTGTGTTTCTCAAGTCACAAGGACTGGGACTCAAACTGTGGTCAGCCAGGTGGGCTCTGCCCCCAAAGTATAGCACTTAACCACTGCGCCACAGGGCTGGCTCTGCCTATGCTACTTTAGACTCAAAACTGCATTACATGGGGATCAGCAGAGAGTGCAGTGGTTACATCGCTGGACTCCCACATAGTTGACTGTGGTTCAAGTCCCGGACCTGACAGCTTGAAACTCATGCCGGGCGCGTGTGCGTACGTGCCCAAAATCCCAAGAGGAAAATGGAGGAGAGGGGACTGCAGCATAGCCATCCCCCTTGAGGATGATTTCTGGCTTTATGTCTGTCTTTCTCTGTCTGGAGAGCACATGTGCCCTATAGCAAAAAACCTCTCTCCGAAAATAAATAAATAAAACCGTACCCCACCTCCCAAATGTTTCACAAGCTGCCTGAAAAGCCAGCTTAGTGGCATGTAACACAGAGGGGCTGGGTCTAGGTTTAATTTAGCACAACCCTGTGGCCCCCAGGCCTGCCTCTTGGGACTGTGGGTGACACTGCAGACCCTTCCCGCCTGGTGTCTGTACGGGAACTGCAGGTACACCAGGACACACCTGTAGGTGCAACTTTTCATTGCCAATTCAGGGGGTTCCCAGCATAAGCCAGTGACCATCAGGTAACTCAGCACTCAGGAAGCTCCGAGAGAAACCTGGGCGTGATCTGTGAGAAAGTGGGGACGCTCCAGAGGGCAGCTCCGAGCTGACGACTCCCAGAGCAGCCCCGCAAGTGTCCTCTGGCCCATGAGCATAACCCCTTCCTCGCTGAGGGGAGACGGTCGCTAGGTGGAACGTAGGGTTGGGGGCAGCTACCCTCCCAGCAGCCCCAGGCCACAGACGGTGCTCAGGGGACAGGCAGAGGAGACTCGCAGCTCAGTCTCCGCCCTGCCAACCTCCTGGCCCTGCTCCTGGACTTAACCCTCCTCGAACTCACTTTCCTCATTTGCTAAAGGAGACCCAATATTTGCCAAACTTGCTTTTTGGGGCTGAAGAGAATTCCTACATCGAAAACAGTAAGAATAAAAGCTCCCCTCCAACTCTTCCCACGAGCTGGTTTCTTTCTCCTGTTCTGTCGTGGGTGGGCGTGGCAGCTTGGATTGTCAAGGCCTGAGAGCGGCAAGGCGCTCATATGCCTATGAGCTGTGTCAAAGCGCCCGTGTTCACGTAACGTCCACAGTGAAGCCGCGGGGGTCTGAGACATGACCTCCATCCAGGTCACCCTTACCCTGGCACAGGCTCGCAGAAGCAGCCGCAGGGATGGTTGAATCCTCTCACGAAACCCGGCTTCGGGGGACACAGCGGGTGTTCCACGTGGGTCGCTGGAAGAGAGGGCAGATGGTCAGTGAGCTCCTCCTGCAGACGGTGGGGCCACCGCCACTGAAGTGCCGCGGGACATGCCAATCCCAACACCAAGGGACTGGGCAGTCAGCCAGGGGTTCCAACTACTTGACCCAAGTCCACTTTTACCCCACACCCCACGGCCATTCACACACACCCACAGGTGCGCACGCACGCACTCTCTCCCCAGCCTGCCAGGATATTAGGGAACGTTCCGGAACATGGGGTTCGGGGCTGGGAAGAGGAAGCTGACTCTCTACATCTCAGCCGACAGAGGCGTGGGTGTGTCCCCTGTCTGCCCGACACCGAGGCTCGGCTCCTCACTGGGCAGAGGGGGGGACAGTGCCCTGGCCTGCAAGGTGACACACCATGGGCTCAGCGGATCGCTGCACCCTGAGGTGTGGGACAGCTGACCGTACCCACATGTCTACACCACAGACCGTGAGCCTGGGCAGGAGTGAAGGGCACTGGCAAAACCCTCCTGACCCGCCCAGGCAGGGCACACAGGGGACAGGCCCCAGGTCCGAGTGTCCCGGGATTTCTGCCTGCAGCTCTCCTCGAGGAACGGAGGGGTGCCGAGGAGGCGCAGGCCGCAGGGAGAGGCCAGGCCGCCCCCCGGCTGCCACTCACCGTTGGAGCTGATGGTCCCGTCCTCGTACTTCCTGATCAGCACCAAGTCCACAAAGTCCCTGGGAGAAATGAGCTTCATGGCGGCAGACGGGGTGGAGGTCCTGCTCACGCACAGCGTCTGCCAAGGCAAGGGGAGCCCGCTGCGTCTGCGGGCTGAGTGCCGCTCCCATCCAGCCAACACCCCGGGCCTGGGAAATGGGACCGGCAGCGTCAGGAGGGTGGCCCTGTGAAACGGAGGGTCCGGACGAGGCCTCCCTGGAGTGCCAAGTGTCACTGAGACGCTCCTGGTTTATAAGACCTGTGGCCGTGACATGGGATGCCTAGCTCTAGCTCATGGCCATGCTGAGGTTCTATCTCACAAAAGACCGTAAGAGTCACTTTTTAGGGACCAGCAGTGGGCGTAATGGCTATGTCGGTGGACTCCCGTGTAGTCGACCATGGTTCGAGTCCCGGACCTGGTGGCTTAAAATCATTCCGGGTGCATGTGCATGCGTGCCCAAGATCCCAAGAGGAGAATGGAGGAGATGGGATTGTGGCGTGGCCATCCCCCCTGGGGGGTGAGTTCTCGCTTTGTCTCCTTCTGGCAAGTTAATACGCCCTATAGCAAAAACCTCTCCAAAAAGTCACCTTTTACTGAGCCTGTCCTTCACAATGCTGAGAAACAGGGATCACTAACCCACGGCCAAGACTCGGGGAGCACAAAGCTCAGAGTGGAAATGGAACGTGAAGAGGGCCAGGCCAGGAAGAGGTCAGAGAAGTGCACGCACACGCGTGTGGTGTCCTGGACAGGCATCACCAAGTCTGACCCTCCATCTGAGCCTCCCACGTAGGCCAGACTCAGAGCAGCACCATAGTACGCAGCTTCTCAGGGGGGCTGAGACTCCCACGTGGCCTCAGCCTGCTCACAGCGGCACATGCTAAGGCAGCCAGGCTGAGCCCACACCTGCCTGGCTCCTCACATGTCCCCAGGCCCTGGGAGGGAGCACTGGGAACCTCGCCCGGCCTCAGGAGACCTCAGCAGCCCACTCGCCCACTCTCTGAACCAAGACACCTCACTACTGCCCCTACGTCATCCCCTGGCCTGTCTTGCAGGAGAGCAGGCCCGGGCTCTCAAGGCCTCATTGCAGAGGTCCCAGCCAGGTCTGCAGATGCACAGGCAAACGGATTGCCATAGGTCCCTCCCTCTTTGTCTTGCGCCTGACAGTAAGACTCGGGGCCTTGAGGGCTGCTAGGAAACCTTCAGCAGGGAGGCCTGTGGCCTCAGGACTCAGTCCCCAAGTGACCCTGCCATGCCTGGGGGCACTCAAGCACTTTGCGGTGGGTGCCCTGGTGCCCCATTCCAGACGCCTCCACCTCCTAAAATGACCTGCCAGCAAACGCCGTGCATCCACAGAAGGGTTTTCTTTCCTGCCTGAAAACCACCACGGCACCCCCACTCCACCATCCAGAGCCGCCTGAGCACAAACTGGTCCAGGCAGAAGGGACTATAATGCCGGCTGCGGTGGTTCACCGGGCCTACCCACGGCGTGGGACTCTCCCGTTTCTCCCTTTCCTGCATGTATACTGAGCTTAGTGTCAGAAACGAGGCAGGCCTGCCATATCTGAATTGTGATATTTTGTAGGAATGGACGTGATTTTCTTTTTGAATAACCGTACCGCTCCCACCACTGATCGTGGGCCCCCAACGCGACATTCCCGAGGACGAAGGGGATGCTGGTGGGAGCCTGAAGGGGCAGTGAAACACACTCACGCGGGGCTGTGTCCCCGCCTTCCCTCCATCCTTCACCCACTGTCCATCTTAGAATTTGCGTACTTGCAATTTGTCAGAATGGTGCTGAAAAGCTCCAACCTGCAAGGAAGGGCCCTTACTCCACATTGGCACTGTCTCCCCACGGAAGAAAGCGCTCCCACCCACTGGTCGCTTCTCTGTTTTAACAAACCTGAGCTCATCCGTAGCCTGCGTTTCCCTCTTTTTTTGGGGGGGGGTGGGGAGGCTAATGTCTATTAAAGCCTCTTTCTAGCAAGAAGTTCTATCTTTTAATGGGTACACTAATTAAGTAGAAAAAAAGGACTCCCATTTATTGCACCAGAGATGCAAAATACTTCCTTTTTTGTGCTTAATAGTTCATCAAAATTTGTAAGAAAATCGTGTTATCCGAATAAATTATAATTATGATTTTAAACATGAAGTCTTACAGTCACAAGAAATAGGATTTTTTAAAAATAAATTCAATTTACATACGTGTTCATGATATGAGATGACAACATTGAAGAATGAACATGTATTACAAGGAGACTTCAAAAGTTTCTGAAAAATCTGAATTAAACTATGAGTTTATTTTGGTGCCAAAAGTTTGAAACTCATGTCTGATTTTCCATACTCCTTATTTTTCACAAACTTGTTGAAAATCCGTCGTACTGTATGTCAGGATAAAATTCAGCAGGCTGTGTGGGATGGAAATTTGAGTTTGAGAAAAATATTTACATAAATTATTATGAAAAAAAATTGATGGGGGGGGAACCAACAGTTAGCGTAATGGCTATGTCGCTGGACTCCCATGTAGCTGACCGTGGTTCAAGTCCCAGACCCAGTGGCTTAAACTCACGCGGGGCGCATGTGCGTGCGTGCCCAAGATCCCGAGAGGAGAATGGAGGAGAAGGGATTACGGCATGGCCATTCCCTTTAAGGGGTGATTTCTCACTTTCTGTCTCTGTCTTCCAGCTAGTGTGCGTGCCCTATAACAAAATCCTCTCCAAAAAAAAAAAAAATTGATTGGGCTGGCAGGTGGTGTGCTGGTTGAGGCGCTGGACTCCCACATGGCAGTCCACAGTTCAAGTCTCAGACTTGGTGGCTTGCTTTCTCACATTCTCTCTCTCTCTCTTTCTCTCTCTCTCTGGTCAAACTTAAAAAATTATAAAAAAATGAAATAAAAATTAAAAAAAAATTTGTTCACAGTTTTAAAATGGATAATGGTAGATTTTTAAAATTTTGTATAGAGATTTTTGCTATAGGGTGCATGTGCTTGCCGGAGAGACAGACAGAAAGCGAAAGCGAGAAATCACCCCCCAAGGAGGATGGCCTTGCTGCGATCCCTTCTCCTCCATTCTCTTCTGATTTTGGGCACGCGTGCACACGCATGTGGCGTGAGTTTTAAGCTGCCAGATCTGGGACTCGAACAGTGGTTGACTACGTGAGAGTCCAATGATGCAACCATTATGGTATCTGCTGGTCCCAGGATGATGATTAATTTAAACTGATACTTATTTATTGTTATTTTTTTAAAAATTATTTTATTTACCTTTATTTACTTATTTATTTATTTTAATTTGACCAGAGATGGGTAGAGCAAGAGCAAGAGAGTGAGAAAGTGAGAAAGCAAGCTGCCAGGTCCAGGACTCGAACCACAGTCAGCCATGTGGGAGTCCAGCGCCCTTAACCACCATGCCAATTGCTGGCCCCGGTATGTATTTAAATAAGCTACATCTAAAAGAATTGTCATTGCTTTGTCCAAAACTGATAGATTTAATACATGTAAGAAATGACATGCTTTGTAACTTAGGAAAATTGAGCTGTCAATTACATGTTAGCTATCAAGTGGATGTGTGGGGCTCTTCTTAAGTTCTCAAAAATCTGTCAGAGGGGACCAGTAGATGGCATAATGGTTAAATCATTGGACTCCCATGTAGTTGACTGCGGTTTGAGTCCTGGACCTCTTGGTTTAAAACTCTTACGCCAAGTGCGGGTGTGTGCATGCCCAACATCCTGAGAGGAGAATGGAGTCTCAAGAAGGGATTGTGGTGTGGCCACTCCCCCGGGTGTTAATTTCTTGCTTTCTGTCTCTGTCTTTCCAGCAAGCACACACACCCTATAACAAAAATCTCAAAAAAAACCTGTCGGAGGTTAAGTAAAGAGCTTCGACACCCCTACACCAAAGGACTGAACAGGTCAGGCAGGGTACATGGGCTGCTTTGGGCTGATACTGGCCCAGCCTTCAGAGAACCGGGTACAGGGATTCAGGGTCCTGTGTTACCTGGTGGAGCAGCCCCACACGAGGAATAGGCACACGGCCCCCAGAGAGGAACCAGGGTGCCCAGAGGAAGAGAGAGCCCTGCCAGCATCACCCACTCAACCCCGCGGCAAGCTGACCAAGAAGGCAAGAGCCACCAGCACTGAAGTGAAACCCTGCACAGGTGAACGCCCAGCCACCCGGGTCCTGGCAGCCTGGGGAAGGCCAGGGGGGTCTAAGTAAGAGACATACCACTCTGCAGCCAGGAGAAATCAGGTCCCTGGGACCCAGAACTGAGGTGGAGAGAGGGCAGAGAGGCAAGAAAGGGCTCCCTGGCTCCTCGGGAGGTGGTTCAGGGGTGTGTGTGTGTGGTTCCCAGTTGTTTCTGCTATAGGGTGCATGCACTTTTTGGAGAGGGACAGAGAGAAGGAAAGAGAGAAATCACCCCTGGAGGGGGATGGCCACACCACAATCACTTCTCCTCCATTCCCTTCTTGGGATTGTGGACACTCACACACAGCGTGAGTTTCAAGCTGCTGGGCCTGGGACTCGAACCGCACAGTCAGCCATGTGGGAACCAGTGCCTTACTCTCCATGCCACCTGGGGGACTGGAGGCCAGGTATTAACCTACGATTTTCTAGGCCTTCCATTCTCTCTTATCCTACCAGTCACTGTGTCAAGACAAAGTAGCGCAGAATGGCAAAGTTGTAGCCACTTTCACCTTCGAAAAGAAACCCCTGCAGACGGTCCTTGGGGTTGTTCATTTTGTATCAGGTCTTTAAAGGGCATTACTAATCCATACTCTCGACTTTATCACTGCTGTCTAATTATCTGCTTCTATCATTTTTGCTAATTTTTTGCTTTTTAAAATCTATCTCACTTATCACCTAACCTATTATTCCCTTGATATCACTCTCTAAATGTGCTCACTCTTCAGATAAGCTGGGTTTTAAAAGCAAGCTACGTTAACTATGGGAAATAGAAAAAAAAAAAAAGTATCATTCGTCATCAATTGAAGGCAACTGCAAAATATTGGGTCACTGGAAAAGTTATGACGCATTTTTGCATAGAGAAAAACTTGGAAAAATTCTCCCGACCACCCACCACCTA